TTCTTTATTTTTTCTTTCATTTATTATTTGTTTTATTATTGTATGTGTTATGGACTGTTTGTAAAATTCTTATGTTTTCATATACACCTTATTGGAAGCCACCCAGAGTGGTCGACCAGACCAGATGGGCGGGATATAAATCAAATAAATAAATAAACAAATAAATAAATAAATTGGCCCGTGCTTGACCTGTGTTAATAGCTACAGTTTGTGGAGGTCAAGGATGTGGGCAAGATTATTGGAGAGCCACTATGTTCATACTGGATCCTTGCCCTTCCTAGTTCAAAAAACCTGCTGAGTGGACAAAGGGAGTGATGAATGGTCTAGATAGATCAAGGCAGGATTTCACCCTGAAAGAGATGGTTGTAAGATGCTTATTTATAAAACCTCTCTGAACCATACTGTATTATTAGAGACCTGTTAGCCAGTCTCCAGTGGGACACATCCTGGAGCATCTGGTGGCTTCTTGGTTCTAAGGGTTTCCATGATGAAATGGATTATCTAGATCCACTGTACTTTGGTTTTTGGCCTGGGTACTGGACTGGCAATCTTCAGTCACCTTGGTGAATGATCTTCTAGACCAGGGACGAGATAGGAGTGTGTTCCACTTCATTCTGCTGGACCTCTCCGTGGTTTCCAGTACCATTGGGTTGCCCTTCTGGGGCAGAACGTGGTAATATAGTTTTGCCATGTCTCCAGTCCTTCCTAAATGGTTGAACTCAGAAGGTGCTGCTGGAGGAGTCCTGTTCAACACTTTGGGCTTGGGAGTCCCTCAGGGTTCCATGCAAGCCCCCTCCCGTCCCACCCCATGCTGTTCAATATATACATGAAACTGCTGGGAGATGTCTGGAATTTAGTTCAGGGACAGCAGTAGACTGATGATGTGCAGCTCTGTCTCTCCATCTAATTCTAAGGAGAGCTGTCTCACTTCTAAACCAGTGCCAGGTGCTAGTATTGGACTAGAAGTGAGTGAACAAATTGAAGCTTAATCTAGGCAAGGCGGAGGCATTCCTGACCAGTCAGAAGACAGCACCGAGTCAGCCTGTGTTGGGGTGGTACTTCCCCAAAAGCTCAGGTTTGTGCCTTGGCTATACCCTGGGTTCACACGAGAGAGTGGATGCTCATGTCTGGACAGGAGTGTGTTTGCACATTTAAAGCTGGTATGCCAGCTGTGCCTCTTTGTTCTAGTGTCTCAGGTGCCTACAGTGGCACCTGACTGAGTCATGTTCTTCTTGGATTACTTTAATGTACTCTGTGCGAGGCTGCTATTGAAAAAATGTCTGGAAATTTCAGCTGTTCGAAAACATTGCAACCAGACTGTTGACTTGGGAGCAGTTACAGGGATTGTGTAAGTCCCTTGTTAGCAGTTTGTTTCCAGGCTGAGTTGAAGCACATCCCTTTCATATACCGCTGTCAAAATTTGCTTTGTCTTGTGACTGGACTATTCAGGTCACAGTCTCTTTTAAAAACCACAAGAATAAAATATGTTTTCTTTAAAACTCTTCACTTATTTCTTCTCTTTCGCTGCCACCAACCTTTAGTTGCCCTTATCTGTTTATATATCTGCCCCCCTTTTTCAATTACACCCTTGCACTGTTCCTCTACATCACCAGCCCTCAAATATTAAAACTCAGCGCCACTCAACCTGATTAGAACTAATTGGGTTTTATTTAAATAACTGTGTCAAAACAATGTTTCTTCCTAGGCTTTTAAGTTTATTTAGTGAGTTCTTCACTCTCTCAATCAATTCTGTCATCCTCAAACCTTCTTTTACGCAGAATCCAGACTGATCTTTCCCTAGATTCTGATCTTGCTCACACACACTTCCTCATCCTTATCTAGTTTCTCTCCTAGTCGACCAGTCTTTCCAACATTCCGTGCTCCTCACTCACCCTCTCCTGTCACATGATTTACTCCCTAACCATATAAACAATGCATTTAACTATAGTCAGGCATCAAAAGGGTCTTTCTTCTCTTAGTCCCACCACTTTCATAGGCTTGTGTCCTGAGGGCACAAAAGAGAAAGTTATAGAACTCCCTTCCAAAAAAAGGTTAGGTTGGCTTCCCCCCACCAGCCTCCTTTTGTTTCTGCCTGCAGGAAAAAAAAAACTTTTAAAAGCTTTTGCTTCAATGAATGGCCTGGGAAGAAAGGAGTTTTCGTGGGAGTTTTCATAGTAGTAATAGCAGTAGCAGTAGCAGTAGTAGTAAGTAGTAGTAGTAGTAGTAGTAGTAGTAGTAGTAGTAGTAGTAGTAATAATAA